TAAATAACACACAACAGAGGAAGTACTCATCCAGACGCACATAAGAACAGCACGCAGCTAGCAATGGACGGGCATGCACTTACGGACCGTTGCGAGCGCTCCTCCGGTTACGTAATGCATACGTATAGAGCCCCTAGATTGTCATCTTGACCATGTCGTGACAAATATGCGTTCTGATGCACAAAAACTCCTAAATTCCACTTTATTTTGCATTTTGGGTGAAGAAATGGCGAGGTATACCATGAAATACAGTCCATAATATATCCACTATCATCTTCTCAATGCCGCCCCAATGCGTTCCGTGTTTACCCTACCAGTCAAGCGGAGTATTTTGTCACCGACACGTCATATTTGTCCCAAAACAATGGAGTTCATCTACTGCAACTGTATAATCGCAGAAGGCTTGGTCTATAAAACCAGCATATGGAGCAGATACGCTCGTTTTCCAAAAAAAGTTCATCTGACCGCCTTGAAACCTACACCGATCGATTTCGTATTACAAGTTGTGTCATGAGAGAACAACATCAAGGCCTGATATGAGGTCGAACATCTCAAAATGCAAAGACAAAATTGTAAATACATGAGCAGACAGCTCAGATCCCAGAGCCGCCCACCGCATCAACCACCGTAAAATATTTGTTATTGGAAGCACCGCGCCTGATTCCCTGTTGCAGTTGAAAATCTGGTGCCCCTAGATCGGATCAAAAGCCGTCAAATTTCGCAACTTCTAAAGACTCAGTTCTCAGAACCTATCGAACCGATCGCTGTCAAACATTCGTCATTGAGTGCGCCGTACCTGATTTCCCGCGGCAGCTAAAATTTAGTGGCCCCGGGTTAGGTCAAAAAGTCGGTAACTTTCATGCATTTCAATATTATTGCATGCAGAAAACCTCAGTTTTTAACTTCTGATTGCAAGGAAAAGGCGCCACTCTAGAAGGCCGCCTTCGCACGCCGAAAGCATTCTTCTATGGCGGCCATGGGCGGCGGCTCGTCTTTTTATTGTGGGGGACGGGGAAGGGCTCAGCCAAGAAGTACTTTCGGTCGTCCCGCACTCTTGATGCTTCCAGGGTAACCTCTCAAGGCCTTCGCTTGTCTCACGGCCCTACGTGTGTTAAGTTTGTTGCTGCGTTTCTCAGCTCATCTTGTTTACAATTTTTAACCGGCCGGTTTTTTACCGAGCAAACATAACCTTTTATCACCGTGTGGAAGATGCTCTAGTACTGGTAGGTGTATTGCTGAATACTACGAACATAACGTTTCTATGAGTCGGCAAAAAGCCCACGACATTAACGGATACAGCTATTGGGTTTGCAGACTAAGTCATTCGGCTAAATATACAACCTCAACCTATATCAATTGTTTTCTGTCCTTGGTTTTAGGTCATAGAGCCACCATGTCAAAAAGCGTTGTTTTGCACAATTTTATTTCGTTAAATATGCAATATATTGAAGCCGCTTTACTGGATATTCGAGTTTTGTGTGACGTGCAAGCGACAGGCGACAAGTACGGCATCGTGCCACATTTTGTCAACACAACTTTCGCCATGGCGCCATTTGCTTGACCTATTCAAAGGGATATTCCACATTTGGAAACATTGAAGCATCAGATATGATTAAAGACTCTCACTTTAACTCTTGGTGTGCTTTGTAAAATCGGCTGCTCTAGACAACACAATTCTTCTGTTTAGTAAATATGCTCCTCTGCACGTCGGTATTGAATTGCGTCATCGTACCTTGCTCAGCATTGATCGAGGGCCATTTGACGGTCGTTATATCTGGAAATTGTGCTCACGAATGCCACACATATGAACGACCTGACAATTTTTATTTTCTTGGATCGCCCTTAGACCCTTAGAAAAGCAGGATTTAGCTGATACTATTATAGCGTCATGGATGCCCGAGAAACATTTAAATAGTCACCTCTGAAATAGTCTGTATATCTTTGCGGGCGTGTAATTCAGAAAGTACAGGGTTTTAGGTCTGAACACGCGCTCGAGGGAGAGGCAAATTGATCCTCCCAAAGGTTTTTAAAAGATGGTTTCCGAACGGCCCGGCGTAGCCGCGCCAAATTTTGCATAGCTGTAGACAATTGAATAACGGATCGTTTGACATGACAAATATGGATGTACCTTGTAAGGTCGCTGACCTATGGTAGACCAAAGTCAGGCCATGGCTTCAGCGAAGACAATTTCTAGGGAATCGTTCAATCAGATCCAAAAATGGAGTGTTAGACGAAGCCATACATCTCTGAGATGTTTTCTTAGGCTACATAACAATTGAATGAACAATTTACAATGACCTTAAATCAGGTATGAACATCGGTCAAAGGTCAAAATCAGCCTGTTTTATGACTCTGAAGCTTGCTGTGTGGGATAGTTTCTGGTTCTCATTTGAAATTTGTTGATAACAGGAACCGCGTTATACACCTTCCATGGACTTATCAAATGTCAGAATAGGTCACTAACCTAAGGTGATCCCGGCGAATTTTTTTTGTAGACGCATACTGCCTAGCGTAACCTTTGTCGCTTATTCAAATGCAAAACTTAAAGCAGTGCTGCATGATTGTAGTAACCATGACCTTCAAAGGGCCAAGCAAGGTCACGGACCTTAAATGAGCATGCGTTCTGTCGCTCAGAACAGCAACCTGGGTTGTGGGGGCCCTTTGGAGACCAACCTGGAATTTGACCTTGTTTGACCTTATTTGACCCGAAGATTATGATCTAGGAAGCTCAAACTTTGATGTAAATGAGATGATGTACAGGTCAATACACCCTGTGAACTTTGTGGTTCTAGCTCTCTTAATGTCTGAGATCTCAGGAGGTCAAATCGACCCTACCCGAGAGAACGGTATCCAATCGGCCACCCTGGCGCGCGTTAAGAAAGGCGGGGCTGTTAACTGCACCGACTGATCTTCAAGATGGCTATTTCGGTGTAAAATCTCGCACGAATGTGGAGCATTCCCTTTAAGAGTCCAATTTGACTCGTACTTGTGTGGGACTGAAGCTAAAAGCGAATTGCTCATGATTAGTTACCGCTTATGAAATATACTGTAAATTCAAAAATGACAATGAGTTTGTTGTAACTGTGGTGTAGAAAAGGCGTGTGCTATTAGTGGGACTGCCATATGTTTACTTGTCATTATATTAAAGCGCTCCGGTGGCGTGCGAAAATTTCCCTTGACCTGATGCATGCCACAATTTGAGGGCAATTTTTATTTTACGTGGGCACCCCGTCCCTCCGCATAACAAGGTAACAACGCACCAACCTGTAAAATAGGTTGGACTTCAGTGCGTTAATCAATGGTATTATTTATTGCTGCACACAAATATAATTATCCCTTGCATTTAGAAAGATTTACCTGTCCCCGAACGGGTGAACTCCATGAAAATGGCGACAGCACGCAGTTTAATATTTTGGAACACACGGGCTACAGGACTTCAACCGAACCCGGAACGTAATTACGATGTCGTCCCGAAATTCGTGAGGGATGTCAAAAACAAAACCACTGTTACTTTGGATGAAAAACGTTCATATATGGCTCCTCCAAGATAAATTTCGGCCGGCGGCTTGAAAGTGTCAGCCTGTTTACAGGGCGGCCGAGAGTCGTTGAGTTGCACGGGAGAGTAAATGTTCTTTCGAACTATTTGGAAAAGAGTCCGAGGCGAAATAGGCCCGTTGAGCCGTCATACTGGTATGGCGCGTTCAGAGCACAAGCAACTGATTATTCTCAGCTCAAAATTTTATTAAATATGCTCCAGACAATTTTCGTTTTCTTTT